GACTCCATGTACAGGTCCCAGACGAATCCCACGTCTTTGAATCCACACATTTTACAGCCTTAATTAATTATTTTCTTTAAATTGTTCTTAAAAGTAATGAACTGTATGAATAGCAGATATTTAGCTCCAGATAAAAAGAAACATTTTTGTATGATGTAATCGGTTGCCGTGATTCGGGATATAAATGGTTCTCGTCCTCTTAATTTAGAAGTCACTGGTTAAATGTAAATATTATATCTGAAGCAGGCATATAATTTCAACTAGCACAATTTCGCACAATTGCTGTAAAAATGTAATTCCGAGAATGCAACATCAATGCAGTAAAGGCCTGATTCCACGAGCGTTTCTTCTCGGCGAAATGCGAAACATTTCTACTTACTGCCAAAGGGGACAAAGTGGGACAATCAATATAATCGCTCATGTGCAACCACCGTATTTCGCAGACACAAGTTCTCGCGACGAATTTCGCCGTCGTGGAATCAGGCCTTAAGGTCCAGACACACCGGACGCGATTCGACAACGCGACGCGATTTTTCAGTTTTTGAAAAACAGCCAATGAGAGCAAATCAGTTTGAAACATATGTAGACCAAGTAACTTAAAATGTTATAGCGCTTCTAAATATTTGGAAAATTTAAACTTGGATCAAAGTTATCGGTCAGTGAAAGTCGAAAAATCGCGTCGCGTTGTCGAATCGCGTCCGGCGTGTCTGGACCTTTAATGCGCAGATACATGTACGCGGTCGCGTACCTATTTTTTATTTTGCTATAGGTTTTGCATTGTTTATTTTGACTGTTCATTAATTAAACACAATTTATTTATTGTGTCTTGATTAGTAATCACATTTTATTCTTGGTACATTGCCATCCAATCACTCATTGTTTTGTCTTATTTTAGCATTGTGGAAAGGGCCTCTATGTACAGTAATTAACATAATGTATAACCAATTCTGTTGTACAGTAATTAACATAATGTATAACCAATTCTGTTGTACAGTAATTAACATAGTGTATACACTTCTGTTGTAGGAATTTCATCAAAACTGTTGAGGAACCTAAAAAAGTTTCATTAGATTTACCAAAAACAGACAAAGAGGTATTAAAGATGGCTATTTTACTGTTGGACTTGCTTCTATCTGGGATGGGCACTTTGCTTTCTTTCTTGTACTGTAACAACCAATTAGCCTTTCTCACGCCGCCATTTTTGGGGTACTGCCTTTCCAAATCTGAGATTGCACGCAGTGAATAAGGGATTTGTATAACTATAATTGTAAGTCTAATCATAAGTTAATTTACAGTTAAATATTTGAAAAAAATATTTTCACATCGCTTAGATTTTTCACGTCGCTTTCAAAAAAGTACCCCAAAAATAGCGAATTTGGCCTTCGTGAGAAAGGCTAATTGGGTTTTTTTTATTGTATCCAATTCATTTTGTTTTAGAGGAAAATGAATAGACAGGAACGATTTGGTATTCCCTTAAATGAAAAACAAAAGAAACTTGCAAGAGCAGAAAGGTATAGGGTTTTACTTTTACTGCAGTAGCACTTACCAGACTGCTCAGTTTTAATAACCTTAGTGTCAAAATTACTTTCGTAGATTGAATTTTCGATGCAATAATAAAAATCTGGAACACATGTTTTTGGGATACCCTTTATTTTCATCCACAGCACTTGTTCTTGAGAGTGGTGTTATTAACACTTCTATCAGTGACCACTTACCAGTGTACGTCCTACTAAAGTTAAAGGCCCCAAAGATGCCAGCATGTTACATTACAACTAGGAGTTGTAAAAACTATAATCCCTCACTATTCTCCTCTGACCTTGTCACTAAATCGGATCGTCTGTTATCCATATTATCCAACACCAACGTTAATACAATACTCGAAACCTTCAAAGATGTTCTTCACTCAACTCTCGACGTGCATGCACCGTTAAAAACCTTCAAAATTCGAAATCGATCATGTCCATATGTCACCAATGAAATAAAAGAACTCATGAAGTCTCGGGACCTACACCTCCGTCGGTTTCAACTGACACGTGATGAAGGTGATTGGGTAGTTTACAAAGAATATCGTAATAACGTAAAAACCAAAATTAAAGCCGCAGCGAAGGACCACACCTTCAACGAAGTAAGAGAACATAAACACAATTCGAGATCCCTATGGAAAATAATTAATAATATAATTCCCTCGAAGGAAAAGGAAACACAAGTTTATAGTAAAGATCCAAAAACAGTTGCAGAAGATTTCAACCTTTTTTTTACTTCTGTGGGACGGAACGCTGCTGCGACAGCCGAAAGTTTAGCCAAAGACAACAATGTTGCACTGTCAAATCCTCTGTCAAATGTAATCACTTATCCATCTGATCAACTGTTCAATTTCCAATCCGTTACTTGTACAGAGGTTCAATGCATTATCATGGCTATGCCAAGTAATAAGTCACCAGGACCAGATAAAATAGGCATGCGTGTCATCAAAGACTGTCTTCCAATCATACTGGGTCCTCTTACGCATATGATAAATTGCTCTCTAATGACAAGCACATTCCCTGACCTATGGAAGATTTCTGAAGTTATACCCCTACTAAAAGAAGGAGACCACGAGATAGCCTCAAACAATCGGCCTCTCTCACTACTCGACGTAGTTTCAAAAGTTTGTGAAAAAGTTGTTCTAAATCAATTTAGCCCCTACCTCAAAGAATTTAATCGCATATCGTCACATCAAAGCGGGAATAGGAGTCTTCACTCCACCGAAACCTTAAACATATTTGTTACCGATACGATGTTGGAAGCCATAGACAACAAAAATCTAACGGCACTAATTTTATTGGATTTATCCAAGGCATTTGACAGTGTCAGTCATTCGATTTTATTACACAAATTGAGTTGTATCCGTGCTTCATCCGAAGCTGTTAAATGGTTCCAAGACTATTGAACAGGCAGATCCCAATACGTGCGCATTGGATCCACCAAGTCATCAGCTCGCCCGATAACCCATGGCGTTCCACAAGGTGCAATACTATCACCACTTCTGTTTTGCATCTATATTAATGATCTGCCAGGGAGCATACAATCGTGTAACCTTGATTCATACGTAGACGACTCAAAGCTTTACAAGTCATTCTGCATCTACGACTTGGAACAGACAACTATCAATTTAGAGGCAGATCTACAAATAGCAGCCAAGTGGTGTTTGGAGCACCAATTACTGATCAATCCAGAAAAAACTAAATTCCTTGTAGTCGGTTCAAGACCCATGCTGCAGAACGTACCTACAGAAATATCGCTAACGTTTTTAGGAAAGACCATAAGACCTGTTTTATTAGCTAAAGATTTGGGAATCAATTTGGATTCGTACCTATCCTACGACGACCACATATCTAAACTCGTTTCGTCGTGTATGAGAAAACTATGTCAAATAAATCGCGTGAAGGATAGTTTCGATAATGAAACATTAAAATTGGTCATTGAGACACTTGTAATTAACAAGCTTCTGTACTGCTCTACGGTGTGGTCCAACACGTCATCTAACAATATCAATAAACTTCAATCAGTGCAGATTGCAGAACTTCGCGTGCAGAGTTATATCAGGGTAGGAAAGTTCGATCACATAACTCCGGCGTTGCGCGAACTAAATTGGTTGCCAGTGGAAAAGTTATTATTGGAAAGGGATACTGTAATGGCTTACAAGTGTTTTAATGGACTTGCACCTGACTACCTAGTAGATAAATTTATAAAGCGTTCCGACATACATGATCGATCGACAAGAAATTATGACCTCTTGGACATCCCTCTGTATAAATCTGCTGCAGGTCAAAGAACATTTAATTACCGGGGTGTTAAAATATGGAATGACTTGGATGATAAACTAAAAAATATTACATCAATAACAATTTTTAAGAAAAAACTTAGGGAGATTTTACTAAAAGAATCCTATTAAATACATTTAATATTTCATACGCTTTGTACATATTTTAACTAATTTTAAATAAGTATATGTAACATAGGTAGTTTTAGAAGTAATTTATAGTAATTTTAATATGTAATGTAGTGTTGAAAAGCCCTTAGGGGAACACGCAATAAAGTATCTATCTATCTATCTATCTATCTATTTTAAGTATTATATACTAAAGTGTATTATATAATTATAATAGATTTGGTGCTGGTGGAAAAACTAATGCTGCTGGAAATCAAAAACTTGCTGGATTTACAAAAGTATGCATAAATGCATATCAGTGCATTATTTTATTATCAGTGCAATATTCAGAACTACTAACCCCTCCAAATTTTATTTTGCTAGGATTCAGCTGATATAGAAAAGTTATCAAAACGAGCTGAACGGTTTGGAGCGGTTTCTCCCATTGTCACCAAGGTATTGTAAACTTTGCAAGACTTCTAATTAGAACATAATATATAATGAGGCTATTATTCCATTTATGTTCTAATTAGCCCACTAACAAAACTTGTGTTTTCATATAGACAGAGAGGAAGTTGTTGGCTAAATGAATTATTTAATATTTTAGACGGTTGAAGAAGAAAAAATTAAAAAGAGAAAAGAAAGATTTGGTGTTTCAACTTCAGGCTTGGGTTCGGACGCGGAGGTGCGTGTCTCTTTATATATATTATACAAATGTTAATATATCTGACATTGCATTACACTAGAAAAGTATACTAGAAAAGTAGAAAAGAACTAGAACAGTAGAAAAGTATACTCAATATACTAGAAAATCGTCGTAATGTATTTCCTAAAGGTAGAGACTAGAGTCAGATCTAGAAAATATATTTCTCTTCCTAGCAACAAAGTCCAAAAATAAAATTTCCTATGTATATATTTCAAAGAACGAACGGTGCCGTACAGTGTGATCAATTTCAATCTTCGGCACAAGATAATCTCGACTTGTAAAATGCTTTTGGAATTTTTAAGTAAATTATTCGACAGTCCAGTAATTAGTATATAAGATGACAGGAATTTCCTGCAAAATGTAAAAACTTCCTGCGAAGATATTTTGTTAAACAATTCCTGGCAGCCGTGCTGCTGGACATTTTCCACCACTCGGTAGAGTAATACCAGCAACAAAAGCCGCTTTAACCTATAATTTTTTAGAAATGTTTATGCAGAACAACATGCGTTAACCTTGTTAAAACATGCTGCGTGACAGTGACAGCCAATCTCTATGGCGACAGCACCAAAAAGGTCACGAAACAATACAAAACTACGTTCCATGAGTAATTATTATTTCCACTTTAAATGTCATGTCTTTTTTCATCTTTCACACCGGCCGCCAGTTTTGGCTATCTTATCTGTTCTTTTCAATGTTTTGTAAAACAATTATTGAATTCAGCTTAACCCAACCCTGGGAACGAGGTTGGGCTTATCCATGTCCATGATATCAAGACTTATTCTGACTTCGGTCATTGACATTGTTACCCACCTCAGCTTCGCTTTGGCTGATATTAAACATTGACTTCGCGATATCATAATAATTGTTTATGTTCAACGGGTCGAAAATAAATTTATGGTGGTTGGATTTTTGCCATTTATCAATTTGCTTTATGCTCAATGAACCAGCTCAAAGTTGATGAGAGTTGGCGGTGAAACGTGAGCAAGAGTTACAACTCTCATTAATTAAAACCGTCGGGTACGGCCCCCAGGTTGAACATCTTGGCAAGATCTTACCAGGTCTTACAAGATCTTATAAGATCTTGCCAAGATCCTATCAATAACTATTCTTGGCAAGATCTTGCCATGATCTTACCACCATTTTCGTGTTTTCTTGCCAAGATCTTGGAATGATTGTAAAAAGAAAATTTGTAAAAAGAAAATACATTTTTTTCAAGATCTTACCATGATGTTCCAAGATCTTGGCAGGATTTCACCAAAATCTAGCCATGTTTGTACCATGATCTTGTTACAATCTTGGGAAGATCTTGCATCATGATATTTTCTGTGTTGGTGCTTGTGATGTCTGTTACGGCACAGAATAAAGATCCATACAGAAGTGCCACTTACGTCGGAAGCTTTGACGTTTCTGTCCTCGCGCATGTCACATTACGCATATCTGTATCATTGCTCTAACCAGTCAATGACATTTTCTGGCCAATAAACATGCTGTACTGGCTGGTTGCTCCGCCTTCTGGCCAATAAACTGCATATTTTTGCATAAAAAACGAGGACGTGTTGCACCGCTGAGTGGCCCTTCTGTTACTGATCTTTATTCTGTGGTTACGGTTCGGAATCATAAGTCTTGGTATTTATTCAAAAATAGGATGTCTTCGCGCTTGTGGTGCACTTGTTTAAGTCGCCAACGTGCGGTTTTGCGCATGCTCCAGGGAACCGCACTGTAGTACTGGTTTTGTAACTGCATAATCTGTTTATTTTCAGGCTAGAAAAAAGATGAGAGCAGAGAGGTTCAAACAAACTTAGTTACAGATTGCCCCACGATGACATCACGTCTTGCAGTGCCACTGTTCACACCTGATATTTAGGCTGATCTTTGTCACCGCTACAGGCGTAAACTCTAAATCTGCAACTACAAAACTTCATTCGACAATTGCAAGTTTAAATACTGTATATTAACAGTTCAACTGCATTAGCAAAATATTTTTTTATATCTACAGATGTGTAGTTTTTTACATGGCATCCATATAATAATTGTACCAAATTCTGTTAGTCGGCGGCTGTTGAGGCGCGGCAAAGCAAAAATTAAGAAGTTCTACGCAGCCTACTATAATACACGCTTCCAGAAAGTACGCCACCTTGGCTATAGAGCCTCTTTTCGTGGTTGAGATATTGATCTTTGACTAATGTCCACATCACGAAATCGAGGGTCTATAGCCAAAGTGACGTACTTTGCGGTGTATTGTAAAGCCCATAGTTATCTTATATACACTAGATAGTGCATCTAATTATTCTGCAATTCAAAAATTGAAGCCGTGATTGCAGTTTCAGGTCGTTCTCATAAAATGAGAAGATCGTATGTTTTCTATTTCTTAAACAGGGAACTTAAACACTAAGTTAACCCTATTCCAAATACGTTTTTAAACTATTCAAATGATGGAAGTTATTGTTTTTAAGCGTTTATTAGCAAGTGGGAACGACCAACATGGCCTCCATCTATTCAAATGGGGGTAACCGCTGGAATATTCTTGGCTTCAATATTACTAAAAGAGATGCGCTATCTAGTGTATATAAGATATCTATATGGTAAAGCCTCGTTCAAACCAGCTCAACATGTTCAACATCATCCTATCATTGATGAATGCAACATTGTCGGCTTTGTTCAAACATTGTTTAGTACTGATGGAAGACGTTGGATCAAGTTTGACTTTATTCAGAATTTTCAGTATTGGACTGGTTTGAACAGGCCTTACGTCTGTCTGAGTAAGGTGTTGTGTTGTGTTGTGTTATAGTCGATAAACTGCTGTAAAACGTGATTTAAATAGTTCATGGTTTGCAAGTGTGTCCCCGGCAAAAAATGCAATAGCTGTGTTCCAGATTTTTTACACACGTCAGCTAATTATTTGCGGCATCGAAAATTGGAGAGAATTTTGACACTTAGATTATTAAAATTATACATGGTGATGAACATATTCCGGTGACTGGTTGATTGTAACATTAAAAAACAAACTATATATCAACCTCGTTCCCAGGGCTTTTCCCTTTTTGTCATTGGGAAGGCGGGAAAAGGCCCTGGCACCGGCCGGTCTTCTATGTATTCTGATTGGTCAATGACAAGGACATTATTAAGCAAATAATGCAATCTTGGATTAATTTATTCAAACTTTGGGATAAATTAACATTTCATGTAAGGAGTGACCATATTAATACTTTGTCCGTCTAAGAAATATTTTTGGCAAAATCTGTGGCAAAATGGTTAAATTCGATAAGATTTATACACAATTTGTCGAAGGTTAGTATTATTGTTTGTTTTAAACTGTGAGAGAAGATTAATTGTGTTACTAGAACACACCTCTGAGGCTCTGACCGAGTATTTAGGGCAAAATGTGCCTTCATATTTGGCTTCGTATAGCGTTTATATTAAATGTTTATATTTATAAAGCTAAAGTCTGGGTTTATAAACTGAAGCATGACCTTTAGTTTTTGATATTCTTCATAGTCGAGTTTAAATTGGCCTATTTGATAGTCAGTTACCACTAGAAATGCGACGATATTTTGTTATATCATATATGCAACAGTGTTTACAACTTTTGCATAATATGTGATTTGGTTTTG